CATGTCAGCTATTGGTCAATCCTCAGCCTCGTCGAGCAACTGGCCAATCATCGTTGTCACCATTTGAAATTTGAAACTGCATAGAGTAAAGTGAAGTGTGGAAGTGTGTTGTAGATTCAAGTTTTTAATGTTACATTGATTTATAGATCTTAAATATTGAGATAATTACTATGATAATATATTAATTAATTAATTTGAAAATTACTATTATATATATATTGTATACATTATTATATACATTGTCTTTTGGAAAACAGTGACATAGCTGTAGAAAAATACAGAAAATTGTATGTGCAATTAAAGTTCAATATGTAGAAACACATGTATTTTTGAGACTAAGTGGACCACAGTTGTGGCACATATTCAGAGATCAACTCTTCCATTTGGCTTTCACCAAGGCTCTCCATGCGGCTACTGCTACACACACACACAAACAAGGAGGCAGGTAAGAAATTGCGTCACTTCCTGTAATTCACTATGATTGGTCGGTCGGGTTGACAACGTAATATGTCTGGTACGTCGGTGCATCAGCATAGAACTGAAATTTATAGAATGTGACCTAAACGATCCATATGATCTCCTTACTTTGGCAGATCGTCTACACGTTCAAATCATTCACGATCTAATATCGTCTCATTGCGCATCCCGAAATTGTCTATAAAAAAAAAATAAAAAAAACACACAATATGTATGTACTCCTAAATTATGGCAAATTGATGGTAATTTTAGGAGCTAAACCTAAAATTACAGAAAAAAAAAGTGTGGGGGGGTGACGGCCTGACCGACTATGTTGGTTGAGCATATTGGCTATCTGTGTTGTGCTCTGTTTCTTCAGGTCCTTAAACTGCTAGAGACTGACCACCTGCGTGGCGTGCTTGGGCAGCACTCCCAGGCTACAAAAGGGCCAACCTCTTAGCTCCTGCTCTCTCTCCTCCTCATGCTTGTGACTTGGGTTTGTGTCATTTTGGTCTGGTCTCTACATCAGACAACACCTCGCACCACATCGCATCCAGACATACAGGCATCTGCACCTACACTACTGATATCACTGACTTACACATCTCACTTTGGTAATATTATTTTAAGCAATTAATAAAAGTAACATTTAAATCTGGCAACACCTGTCTCGTCTCCCATCTTTTGCCATTACTTATTTGCAGTCTTGGGCACATAACTTTTAAAAGCAATTAGTTGTAATTACTCGTGACTTTTCCCAAAAAGTAACTGCGTTAGTAACTGAATTACTCCACCATAAAAGTAACTAATTACCAGGGAAAGTAACTATTGCGTTACTCTTTGTTAAAAAAAAGTTTTAACATTTTTTAAAGACAAAAGAAACAGTTAACAATATGAAGTACTTTTAACATTGTACTGAAAATGTGAATTGCTTTGAAAAATCCAACTTTAGCTCCTAAACATTCGTTCATTCATTCATTCATCTAGCCATACATACGCTCTTTCCTCACACTCATCCATCCATGCATCCAAGTTAGAGCAGAAAAATCCAGCTTTAGCTGCTTGTCTGAACGCACCCCTAGACTCCTGATTGGACAAACCTGAACAGTGCATCCTTAAATGAGGATCGGACCATAGACTGTATAAAAGATGGACGTAGCTACCGTGACGTCACCCGTTGGTTTCTGCACTGAGAAAATGAAGCCAGAGTTTTGCTACTTCCTGGTTGACATCTTGGATTTTTGGAGCCAGTGATGCAAAAATCGTCGGAGGTGGGCGGAGCCATAGGAGCAGCGATTAGTCAGACGGATTGAGAGGCAGGCCCTCTCTGCCTGCCCACATTTACCGCCTTCTGCTCGCTTCGTCTGCATCGTCGCTGCCCACTGTCAGTCAAGCCAGCCACGCCCCTTGCCCCGCAACATTTTGACGATTTTTTTAAAATTCAGTATTGATTTATTTTCAGATTGGCCACCTGATCTCTGGACTTGACCATGAAAACTAATTTTAAAAAAATCCTGAGCTGTAGGAATGCGGTATTTGGTGATCTGTGATCACTTCTTTTCCAATTCATTTCTATGGGGCCCAGGGCTTTTTGGAGCCAAGACTAGCGGACGTAGTGATACTGCAGGTTTTTGACACTTCGGGGTTGGCTTCATTTTTCAGGGCCGGTTGCTACGTCCATCTTTTATACAGTCTATGGATCAGACGCAGGTGTGTGGAAGGAAGGGAAACAACCGGAAGAGAGAGCGGCACGAGGGGAAACAAGCGGAAAAGAGCAGCATGGGGGACCGAGGAGGAGACCACACACAGCGACAGTGACGGTGGGAGCAACGCGCAAAGGGTGCACCGCGGGGCAAAGGATACCGGACAGGACCTGCAGACTGGAGGCAGAGCAGTCGGCGGCCGAGACGAGACCCGGATCGGCGCGTGGACGCGACGCACAGACACATTCAATGCCTACTTAAGCGAAGTGAAGGAAAGTGTATAGTCGAGTCGACTTGCGTGTGTGTGGGAACCCCCCTGCCAGATTTGATCACGTGACTGAGGACGCATCTCTCCTTTTCGCAGCAGCGGCTGTTCGTGGCGGTCGGAGCAGCCCGGTCACGAGCAGGAGACGCCAAGGGACCAAACGGACGGTGGGCGGATAACTCCAAACCATTTACCTCTCTTCTGGAAAACAATAAGTAGGCTCTTCCCCAGCCTGAATGATCTCCAGAAGAGACGTTGCAGAAATAAACATTTCCTGTGAATGATCTTTATTCCTCCAAGTTAGTCAGCTGTGTTAAGCTCATCACCTTGTTTAACCTTGTTTTATTAAACAATTTTTTACATTTTTATCGTTTTAGCTATTTTTATACCTCTGCTTATAATTCCTTTTTATTTTTGAATAAACTATTTTCGACCAAACTGCAGTCTCCTTGTTTTAACAATGGAAGCATTGCCGGTATGAAAAAGAACCCTGCACACGCTTGTGTGACATGAACACTGCCTCTGATTGGTTTACCATGAACACTTACCCTACCTTAGCCAATCATCATCACTTATGCGGTTGTCTCGCCCCTCCCTCCTCCCTTACCACAGAAAAAAGTGAAGCATGTTGCAGCTCCTGTGGCTGAGAGCCAAGTCGGATGACAAGAACTTCAATGAGTAGCTTTAGTTTGTAACGCACCCCATTTAATTGTCGGTAATGGCGTTGTAACGATGGAAATAGCAATTAGTTACTTTACCAGTTAATGAAAAAAATAACGCCGTTAGTAACGCTGTTTATTTTAACGCCTTTATTCCCATCACTGCCTATTTGACGGGTTGTGACAATACACAGACAGAGTTTAGTGATGGAGAACAGAAATATTACTTTCTCCTCCCCTCCATCTCTCTCCCTCTAATAGATTTGTCCCTGTTGGGATTTTGATTCTGATCTCTGGCTTCATCCTCTCTTCTGAGACTGTTGGAGCTGATGGTCTGTATCTCTCCATCACCTGACCTCTGACCTCAGCAGCAGCCTTGCTCAATCACCACCAGTCCTGAACAGAGAGGAGGGGTGTGTGGCAGGGATGGAGGTCACAAAATCATTTATTTGTCCGTCAGCGTTCAGTGAAGACCCCAGCTGAAAGAGGAGGCGCCTGTTTTGCTGCTTTAACATATAAAGCAAGATCTGAATGATCGCAAAACATTGCTGACAGCAGGCTGACAGAGTGTCAGACTTCAGATGAAATAAGTGCATATTAAACAGGAGTGACACATCACTTCATCACTGGAACAGATTACTAATATGCATCAAGGCTGTAAGCTTGGTTTCAGAAGTCCGCTTTGCAAATAATGCATTAGGATGAAAATGGCTGTCAAGCTTCCCCTGCCCCTGGACTGGGAGACAGTTTGACCCTCACTATTAGATCTCATATCTGATATCATTATAAACTGTCTCCTCTCTTTAGATTTTAAACATCATTACATGAATGCTCACACTTTAGTATTCAGAGATTTGTTGTGGAATAACTAGATCCTTTTCCATTCTTTTCATCTATTCATGTTTATTTCCTTTATGCTTAATAGACATGTTCTGTTTTTTGTACCCTTTCTTGCAAAATGCAGTAAAATTAAGCCATGATTGTAGCATAATATTCTGTAGGATTTCCAGATTACACATAAATTAACTCACTGACTGTCCACACCAAATGATTAGATTGAAACTAAAAAAAAAAAAAGTTTTCAGTTCATTCAAATAAATCAAATTTTCTAAAATGTTTGGCAATTTGTTAAACATTTAAAAACTGATTCTCTCATTTTCAAAAGTATTAACATCCTTGATTCAGTACTTTGTATCTGCATCTTTGGTAGCATTTACAGCTTCGAGGTTTCTTCAGTTCGTCTTTACAAGCCTTGCCACCAATTAGGCAGCTGATCCCATTCATCCTGGCATGTCCTGCTCAACTCCATCAACTTGGATGGGAAGCATGTGTGAACTGCCATTTTGAGTTCTCTCCACAGATGTTCTATGAGGTTTAAGTTTGGGATTTGACTAAGCCACTCAAGAACAACCACACTTGTGCCTGCTCCTTAGAAGAAGCCCAACAGCATGATAATGCCACTACCATGCTTTACTGCATGTCTATTAGCTGGTGTTCTCCAGATATAGTTCTTAGATCTCTAACCAAATAGTTCATCTCTTTTATGTCATTTGACATTAGAATCAGCATGATGGTGCCTAAATGCAAGAATGATCTGGATTTGAACTGTTGAAGAAATTTTACCCATAGTCCTCATGTGAAGTTTGCTGTCGTGTATTAGTATTCCCGTATACGGTGGGCTTACCAACACAGAGCATGAGTCTGCGATGGTAAACCGACCCTGAACATCTGCAGAGTCACACATTTATAGGGTATGTCAGAGGGTAGGGGGGGGCCTGTATCTAAATACAGACACGAACAGTGGTTAGTTAACATACAGTTGCTAATCAAATGGCATGAGGTAAGGTTATGTGGCACCTCTAAAATAGAGTGACCACATTTATGTGATAAAAGTTAATAATAATCACCAAGTTCACATTTTTCATATTGTATGCATTTATTTGTAATATTCAGGTCCAAATTGATTGTGTTGCACCGACGGGGTTAGAGGAATACCAGTCGTGTTTATGTAGCAATGAAGCGGAACCTTTGTTTGTTCCGGTTGCACCTGGGGCCGGTGAGAGAACGCACGCCTCGAGCTCTCTTCAGAAGCAATCTGGGAAGAAGCGCGGTGCTTCTGTGATGTCAGTGCATTTGTGAGTTCAGAGTGGTGATGGCTTTTGGGAAGAAGCTGTTCTTGAGTCTGTTTGTTTTGGTTCTGATGCACCTGTAGCGCCTCCCTGAGGGCAGCAGGTCAAACATGGCAGAACCAGGGTGGGAGTTGTCCTTGATGATGTTTTTCGCTCTACTGAGGCAGCGGGAGGTGTAGATGTCCATCAGGGAGGGGAGAGGGCAGCCGATGATCTTCTGGGCTGCCTTTACAACTCTCTGAAGCCTCTCCCGGTCTGCCATGGTGCAGCTACCGTACCACACTGTGATACAGTAGGTCAGTAGGCTCTCAATGGACGAGCGATAGAAGGTCAGCAGCAGGGTGGGGGTCAGGTTGTGCTTCTTGAGGACCCTCAGGAGGTGAAGCCGCTGCTGCGCCTTCTTGATTATTGCCGTGGTGTTGTCTGTCTAGGAGATGTCAGCGGAGATGAGGACGCCAAGGAACCGGAAGGTGTAGACCCTCTCCACACACTTGCCGTTGATGTAGAGGGGGGGCTAGATCAGATCAGGAAGGAGCTACAGCCATGTCAGAGAGTGAGAGGAAGAGCCTATTGTAGGACATTAGGAGGAGCCTACTCACCTTGGGATCAGAGCTCTTCCAGATCGCTAAAGAAGTGGGTCCAGTGCCAGATCGGGAATCGTCAGAACTTCAGAAGGTAGACCAAGAAGGCTGCTTTGACTACATCAGTTCTTTTATGTACACTAAGCGTTTGTTAGAATTAGAGGACAGTGGGATGGTTGAATTGTTGGTCTTAAAGGACGCTATTGATACTGTTGTTAAGAACCGAGATGATAAGCAAATGGAGGAAGGGATTAAAGAAGGCTTCCATGACTCAGAGATAGTTCGTGGTGTGCTCCGGATAATAAAGCCAGGCACCTTTTGTTATTCCGCACCGGTATTACCCCGTACAGGGCTACTAGTCCAGCTCTCCGTTACTAGGGTTAAGTTCTAACTGCCTACAGGCCCTTGACCTAATAGGATTCTATGGAACTGCTTAAGCTGGTGTCGAGGAAACTCGCCTAGCTTCTGACTGCCTAAATCCAGACGTTTACCCCGCTTCTTCTAATAGGCAACCCAACTAAGTAGCCTCAGTAGCTGAATCACCCACTAGACACGCCTGTTGGTGGCAGCTTTCCTCTTAATGGAACGAGCACTTGGTAAGTTGCTAGGTTTGATTTTAGAGGTTTGGCACTACTAACCCCAGGGATATGTTTAAATATTCTATTTTACTTCAACTTAGATTAACCGTTGAGAACCACTAAAGATCATGTGCACACAATTGTCTAACTTTTTACCACCATCAGATACATAAAATGACTCAATAAAATTTCAGTCCATATTGTCTTTAAATGCAAGGTTATATATTTATTGCAACTCTTCACGCATGGGCTAAGCAACAGCAATTGATTGTTCACTCATAATTACTTTCATTTTGATTTAACCTGATTATTGTGGAAACAGTAATATAATCTGTGCTCATCTAAACTAAAATTTAATAACAAATTACTTGATTTGGAGAGGGAGAGCGCCTAACAGCCTGGCCAGACCTGATCAACGCAGCTCCGTCTTGTCCTGAGCTAAGAGAGACTCCCTACCAGCAAAGCAGCAACCTGGTACGGGGCACCGTTGCACAGACAGAGTCCTCCAGCCAGGGGGAGATGAAGAGTCGCAACTCCGATTAGAACTGCAGTCCGTTTTGGTATCCCGTTGGGTGAGGAAGGGAGGACTGTTCTTCTGGCAGAACACAGAAAAGGGTTCTGCCACTCCTCTTCTGTTGCACTACAGTCCCGTTGCAACTCCCTCGTTGCGTACCCAGTCAATTGAAGAATGTTCTACGAACTCTAAGAGTCCCTCAAGCATGCCTCGATCTCCTGGTCAGAATGACATCCAAGTGTGTTCTCCTGTGATCTCCAACGCACTCCGACAAACATCTCTCTGTCTGTGGCTTTTATAGTATTTCTACAGCTCTCTCCCCATACACATTGTATGATTAGTACTAATGCACACTCATTACTACACACTAGTAATACACATCAGATACACACATTCATTGTTACACACACATTTCCAGTAGATGTTTCACCCTTTACTTCTGAGTCATGAGGTGTTGCCACCTCTGGTGCAACACTCCAATTCCATCTTTGGCAACCGGAACGGACACAGTTTGGCAAACACAGGATGCTTAAGAGCCATCTGTTTACAAAAAGAGGAACCTCTGTTTATCATAAAGGGGAACTTGGGCTACTTTAGCATTGGGCTCAGCTAGCAATCATCCTGTGACTAACAGCCTCATGACTCGCTCTGTCTTTAAGAACACTGTCCTCACTTGCTCCTTTAAACTCATCATGCACTCTACTGGAAACCACCTAAAACACCTGAATCCATTATAATATTTTAGAATCATCAGCCTAACTTTTAACACTACTGATTATCTGGTTATACAATGTCTATTTAAGAATCATTATTTCAATTTAATCACATAATTACCAGCATATAGTATTTCAAATCATAAAAATTCTTTTATGTTGCTTACTGCAGAGCCAAAGTTCTTTGTTAGTGGCTGTGTTTGGATCTCAAACCTTGACTCCACTTGACACTTTAAAGAGATGCTAATGAACAAGGATGATCTTGCCATGATGGAACTTAAGGGGTTTCTTCAGGCCCATCTGAGGAAGAAAAGCAGCACAGAGCTATTTCAGGAGTTAATGTGTGCTAAGCAGGAGGACAACGAGACACCACAACAGGTTCTCTACCGAGTGATAGGATTAAAGCAACGAGTTGTTTTCACATCCAAAATGTCAGATTCAGGGATAAAGTACAGTGCAGCTACTGTTCAAGACGTATTCCTACATACAGTTTACCAAGGACTAGGACACAAACACAGGGATATACGCAGAGAACTAAAGCCCCTTCTGACAAGTGGTGATGCGAGTGATGAAACAATACTACGACATGTAATGAGGATCACCAGTGAGGAAAGTGAGAGGCAGAAGAGGATAGGTCCCTCTCGTCGACCAACCACAACAGCTGCACATAGCGCACAATTGGAGCTCAATGCAGGGCAAGAACATAACAGGCCAGGGAGCTCACTGACCAAAATAAAGACTGACCCAATTAAAGAACTCACAGCCAGAATAGAAGAGCTCACAAGCATGGTTGAGGCAATGAAACAACAAAACCAGCTGCAACAACCAGAGCTAGTGAATCAGTATTCTCAAAAGAAGATGAGAATCAAAAAGGAGAAAAGTTATGGCTGTCCAAAATGTATTGAACAGAGCCGGCCGGACTGCAACCATTCTTTTACCTGTGGGGAGGAAGGCCACAGAGCAGTGGGCTGCTTGACGAGACTAAAGAATCAGGGAAACGTCACCCAGTCACTGCCACCCAGTGATTGGAGCTCAAACAGAGCCCCAAACCGAGCATTCTGACGCAAGCCAACGGTGAAAACTAAATCACACCACATCCATTACCTCAGAAGTAGCTAGCACACAGAAGAATTCCAAGAAAACCAAACGAGCTACTCAGTCCTCGCCTGAGCCACTCAACGCCAAACATGGAGCTGTTGCCAGACTAATAGGAAGGAAAGCCCTAATACAGTGTAACCTAAGCGGCTTGGCAGTAACTGCATTGCTTGACTCAGGAGCACAAGTTAGCATGATAAGTTGTGCCTGGAAAGGCTTGTATCTGCCAGACCTTGCCATTCGACCGATGTCTGAAATCATTGAGGAAATAAATGAGCTGAAAGTGTATGCAGTCAACGGAGAGCTAATCCCATTCGATGGCTGGGTAGCCATAATGGTCAACCTACCAGGGAATGAGGACCCAAATCTGTCCATCAGTGTCTCATTTCTGATTAGTAGTTTGAGCATGGAGAAACCACTAATTGGTTTTAATGTTTTGGAGCAGCTGATCAAGGGACAGCCAGAACAACTGATGCCTACTCTGACTAACTTGCTTGGTAATGCCATCCATGTTCCCTGTGAGAAAGCAGAAGCTATTGTAAGTTTTATACAGACTGCAGAGCCAAGTATGCCACAAAGATGTCTAAGAGCAGGTGTAAAGGACGTGGTCATCCCTGCTGGTCAAGTCACCTGGTTGAAGTGTCGTGTTCCCCCAACCATGAACGTGTTTGACCGGCTGGTGCTGTTTGAAGCAAATGAAGGTAATCAGCCATTGGAGCAGTTGGATATAGGGGCAGGTTTGCTGGAGATACAGAACCCTTCAAAGCCTTATGTCACAATCGCAATTGGCAATAACACCAAACACAATGTCACTTTGCCACGGAAGACGGTGCTGGGCACCTTGCAGCATGTTGACAGGATTGTGGATGGTCACCCTCATGACAAAGCGATGTCCCCAGTAGGTATTAATGAGGTCACCGCTCCACTCATGGTGCCAACCCCAGACTTGTGACATCCACCTGTTAACCTTGATCACCTGGAGGAGACGCAACAGGAGGTTGCCAAGGCAATGTTGTATGAGGAGTCGACAGTTTTTACGAAAGATGGAAATGACATTGGATGCAACCCGGGCCTGCAAATGGTAATAAACCTAAAGGATGGCATCCCAGTGCAGAGAGCATACACATCCATATCTAAACCACTTTTGAAAGAGGTCAAAGAATATATTCAAGACCTCCTGGTGAAAGGATGAATAGTCAGATCCAAGTGTGTGTGCGGAAGAAAGACAGTACATTACGTCTCTGCATTGACTATCGCCTGCTCAACCAGAAAACTGTACCGGACAGACATCCACTGCCCCGAATACAGGATCTGTTGGACACTTTGGAGGGGTTCTCGTGGTTCAGCATCCTTGACCAGGGTAAGGCATACCACCAGGGTTTTGTGGGTGAGGGGTCACGCCATCTCACTGCCTTCATCACACCCTGGGGCCTTTATGAGTGGGTGACGATCCCGTTCGGACTGTCTACCACACCAGCAGCATTCCAGAGGAGCATGGAAGAAATGCTGAGTTCTCTGAGGGACGAATGCTGCATACCTTACCTTGATGATATACTGTGTTACTCACGGTCGTTTGAAGATCACGTGGAGGTGGTTCGCAAGGTGCTACAAGCAGGCCAGCTGACAGCCTTCCCTGGGCCCGGGACAAGATGATATTAGATGCCCCCCCCCCCGCCCGCCCCACTTACCCACATCTCCCCTTTTCTTTGCTCTTCCTCTCCTGTTCCTCTCCTCACCTGCTCCTCACCTTGCCTCCTCTTATTCTCCTCTATTCTGCTTTCTTTACATCTCTTTCATCCATCCTGCTCAGACTGTCCGACTGGGCAGCAAGCCCCTCCCGCTGCACTTTGACGCTCGCTCTCTCTCTCATCCGTGGTCTGACTCTGTCCCCCCTGGTGGACCAGCGGGTCTCTCCCGCTCCACCGTGGCTCGCTCCCACTCACAGTCTCATCCGTGGTCTGACTCTGTCCCTCTGTTGCGGACCAGCGGGCCCCTTCCTCCTCATCTCTGTTACCTGACGGCAGGTGGATCTCTCGCCTCGGCCTCTCTGTCTCATCCTCTCTGACGGAGCCACTAAACTCGTCCGTTTCTGTCAAACAACCCGTGTTTTGTCAGGATTTTTATCACAGCTGATGGATATTAAGAGCTAGCCAGATAACGTTACAAGGTGACAAACGTTGGCTCCGCTGTTTCTTACCTCGCTCTACTTTGTCGTTACTAGTTCCAGCTTCGTGTCACCACCTTTTTTTTAAAAGTATGTTTTAAGCAAATCTCTAAGGCCTCTATTTTCTTCCTCTCTTTTTCTCTTCTTTTTCCTTTTCTGAGCACCAAACTTCTGCTGAGCGGACATTTTGGTGCTGAAGTGCAAAATCCGAACTTCCAATAAAAGGACGTCAAATGTTGATCAGGGGCCAAACCATTTAATGTTGGAGGTGGGGGTGGAGGGCAACTCCAAAGATATTAAGGACAGTTCAGACGAAAACAAATTAAAACTTCTAACTCAAATATTGCCCTGTTTCTTTCCATTAATAGCCCTTATTTGGGGAAAAAAATCCATAATTCAATGAGGGTCCAGTTCTGGGCCCCCTACCCCACTCTGGGCCCGGGACAACAGACCCGTTTGTCCCCCCCTATCGGCGGGCGTGGCTACAAGCGTTGCAACAACACGGTGTGTAGCTTTGACCGGAGAAGTGTGAAATGGTCAAGAGAGAAGTTCGCTACATGGGACACCTTGTCTCCGCTGAGGGTGTTTGAGTTGACCCAAAAGATCTGGAGGCTGTGATGGCCCTGAAAGCCAAAACACCACAGACCGTAGGTGACCTGAGGAGGGTCCTTGGCTTTCTCAGTTACTACCGATCATACGTTCAGAACTTCTCAAAGCTAGCTAAGTCTCTCTATGAGCTCCTTCAAGGGAAATCATCACAGCCATCAGCTCATTCCCGTCTGAACAGAGCCAAAGGGCCCCAGTTGTCATCGAGGGTGCCTATAGAGTGGACTGTTGAGCATCAGAGCGCTCTTGAGAGACTAGTTGATATGCTAACACATCCTCCAGTGCTGGCATATCCAAACTTTGACTTACCATTCGTCCTACACACTGATGCGTCAGAACAGGGCCTTGGGGCAGTTCTGTACCAGCTGCAGGATGGAAAGTTGCGAGTCATTGGATATGGGTCCCGGACCTTAACACCAGCGGAGAAAAACTATCATTTGCATAGCGGGAAGCTAGAGTTTCTTGCTCTAAAGTGGGTAGTGTGTGAGAAATTTAGAGATTATCTCTTTTATGCCTCACACTTCACCATCTACACTGAAAAGAACCCACTCACATACATTATGAGCACAGCCAAACTGAATGCAATTGGACACCGCTGGGTTGGTGAACTGTCAGAATTCTGCTTCAACATTAGGTATAGACTGGGGAGAGTAAATACTGATACCCTCTCCCGCAGCCCTCTTGATGTTGAGCACTATATGTCGGACTCCTGTATC